ACTGGTGGTATCGACCATCACTAATGAGCACAACGTTTGCCCGACTCTGCTATCTAGCGATATTGGTGATAATATTGTGTAGCTCATTATGTATGCATACTCGCATGGTTACGTCATTGTATTGTCACACATCGCCCCCAATAATGCGCTAGAAAGCAAAGTGAGGCGAACTTTATGCACTGTTTAATAAACGAGCAGGAGTGTTTTATTAGGTTTAAAGCCACGAGCGCGTAGCGTGAGTGGCTTTAGACATAATAAACACAACCTGCGAGTTAATTAAACGGCTTCAAACAAGTCTATAAATTCAATAGATATACTGCCTTACCAGTATTTTTTTATATAAAGAATACTAATGAGGACACGACTACAATAGATACTGCCTTATCAGTATTCTTTGCATAAAGAATACTAATTAGGAGTGTTTTATCAGGTTTAAAGCCACTGCACGTGACATATTATGATTGATACGATTTGCCAATAAGCTTATGAATTATTAATGAGTGTTTGAAGCACATTTTAACATTTTTTAACACAGTTTTAAGTGAGTTTGAAGCGAAACTAGGAGACCACCCGCAAATTCAGTCTACAGATTGCGCAAGACAAATATATCTCTTTTTATGAACAAATTGTTCCACATAAGGGTATATTTATCTTAACCTTGAAACCTGAAAATATTTCAAATATATTCAGGACAAGATGCGTGGCAAATGAATCCAATGACCCAACATATTTTACGATAGTTTGTAAAAGATTTTAGGACAGTTGGATGCATTTTGATGATGTGATGTGTGCATTTCCATATTTAGATTTTTGGCGCATTTTGCTTTTATCGCGCGCAAGAAAATTGCAACGCGCGCACTCAAGTTAAATTAGCATGCACTGATTTTCATGCCCTTAATTTTACTAAGCATGCAACTTAGCGCATTTGATTTTAATATGCATGAAAATTTGCGCACCTTATTCTAATCAACATGATGCACCTTAATTTATTTTTCGAGTCTAGACTACAGGGTGTATCAAAATAAACGCAATTCATCTTTTGTGCTTAATAACTTTCGAAATACTATTTCTAGTTAAACGCTTTTAGGCTTACTTCAAAGCCTGTTCTTTTCTCTTTCAAACAAACTATTATCCTTGTCTCCAATGCTAGTAATAATTGCACAGGAAACGATTTAGTAAAACTTATCATTTTTAGTTGCTGTTTAATTATGCAAGTTTACTATGTTATTGTTTAGTCGGTTTAAATGTTAGAATTTTCTTCTTTAAAACTTTAATGTTGTCGTCACCACATCTGGAAAACCACGTAAGAACAAATTAAAAGTATTTTAAAAGAGACCAGGTTGTTTGAAAATCCTAAACGAATGCTAAAAATCGTCAAAACATTTCTGGTGTCTGAGCCAGAGTGTCGTCGAATTGCGATGTAATGTAAACAGAAATTATAGCAAGTTGATGTCAGTCAGCTTAGATGGTTCAAGCCAAAATTATATCGCATTTGAAGTTTCAAACTGTGTTAAAAATAGTGGAAGAAAAGGCGTAATTATACTTATTGTTACAATCCATTTAATAAAATGCAACATTTTTTTGTTTTAATGAAAAAATCAGTTATTTTCATGAGAACGATTTGTTATTCCATCTCAATTTTTTTAATCTCCAATCGCAATAACGTAAAGTATTATTACCCGCGAACCAATGAGTCAAATTTAAGAAACAACCCACTGTTAGAAAGCTGAATGGTTACGCTTTAAAATGAATGTAAACTTTAACGTTTTCGTCTATTATTTGTTTAGCAATTTACATTTCAGTCGAGGATTGCGCTTTTTTTGTTACACCCTGTATATATATATATATATATATATATATATATATATTGCCATATTGAAACAGCACAAATTGCTCCGTCAGTACGAGTTTCAAGCTTTAGTTTTCCAAAGATCGATCTTTTTCGCGACAAGAATATATACCAAATGGAAACACTACGTGATTTGTTTTTGCGACAAAATTCGACGCGAAGTGTAATAACTCGCTGACCAAATGAGAGAGGTGGAGATCACATGATTTATATCTTACGACCTTTCAATTATTAATCAATGTTTTTCGTTGGATATAGAAAAATATATCTATTTACGGAATTCAATATTTTAAATTAAGTGTTCCATTTATTTTATTCGGGGACATTCATGCATTGCATTTACTATAGGGCCTTATACTGCTTTGCACTGTACATGTTTTATTAAACTCGAAATTGAATAACACTATAGTCTGATCTGTTTTGCAACTGATGGTGTAGCCATGCAGACCTTCATTTTTGGGGGGCGAAGCGAACGCCGAAGGCGTGAGAGTGCCTAGTGGGGTAGGGGGGCATACACCACCGGAAAAATTTTGAAATCTAGAGTCCCTGAAATGCGATTTCAAGCATTTTTGGAATGAAATCTTGCAGAATTCCGAAGATTATATTAAAGTAGATCGAAGACATGAATTTTCCCAGACATTTCTTCTCGGGATTAATTAAATTGGAAATGTCACCTTGAAAAACAGGAGGAGGGGTCAGTGTCACCTTTTTTCCTCTCTGTGATGCTTGGGGGAGGGGGAAACCCCAATGCGAATTTGATCAGAAATGTTGCATTTAAATATTTCTAGATTCTATGAGACAACATTTCTGCATTCTCGAAATTACGTTTCAAGACGTACTTAGTCAGTTTCAGCTTCGAGCATGTAATGTGTACCCCCCCCCCCCATTTTTCTACAGATTTAGCCTTTTTGAGAAAATGGTTTTTGTGGCGATTGGGGGGCGGTCGCCCCGTCGCCTATACGCCACTGCCTGTTTGCCACCACCATATTACTTTGTTTACATCGTGACTTCTGCAAAAATGCATTAAGTGCCTGTGGATTTGATTATACATATACTTTATCATTTCGGACGTGGACTCGGACTTGGACTCGAAATATTTAGGACTCGGACTTGAAAAGTTTGGACTAGGGGCTTGGATTCGTATTTGGACTTGAATGTTTTGGACTCGGACTTGGACTTGGACTCGTAAGTTGTGGACTCGACTACAACACTGCCACCAATATATGTAACGGTTACCACTTGTAGTGTTCGGAAGAGGTCCTACAATATCAATATCGACCCGTTCCATTGGATATCCCGCATGTTCAACTACCTGTGGGGCTCGACACTTTCTTGAAGGTTGATTTCTCTCGGCACTTTTCGTGCAGTTTTTGCAATACGTTTCGACGTCCGCTCTCCAACCGCCCCAATAGAAACGCTTGCTTATAGTTTCCGTCATCTTGCTCGATCCCAAGTGCTCGGCACTTTGAAAGCATGTCATGTATATATTCCAGGACTTCCTTGATTATCTTTCGAGGCAGACAAATTTGTAGATGGTTGAATTTCCTTCCTTGTCTTCAAAAGTTCTATGCAGAAGTCCATTTATCAGTGACAATGCATCGAACTTGCTCCATAACTGGTCCATCGTAGGGCCCATACCCACTATCTCCAGCTCTCTAGGTGGCCTACTGCCGTCCTGGACCCTGGACACCAAGTAGTTGACCTGTTCTCTGTAGGAATGTTGAACACTTGGGCAGTTTCCGTCTTACACACGTTATTTTCTACAACTCTGGTATCTTTCAACGGTATACGCGACATGCCATCCGCATTTCCATGGTTGCGTCCCGGCCGATGTTCAACTACAAAATCAAAGATCGACAGTCTTTTGATCCACAGAGCGACCTGCCCTTTGGGCTGTTTCAAATTCTTGATCCATCTTAATGCGCTGTGGTCCGTCCTCGCAATGAACTGTTTGCCGACAAGGTAGGGTGCGAAATTTTCCAGTCCCCAAATTAAGGCGAGTAATCTTTTCTGGTAGTGCTGTAGTTTTTCTCTGCTTTTGACAACGCCTTTGCTGCATAAGAAATAACTTTTTCTTCGTGTCCTTATCGCTGAAATGGTACTGCGCCGATGCCTGTATCGCTGGCGTCTGTGTCCAGTGTGGACAGCAAATTTGTTCGTGGATATACAAGGGCAGGAGCTGTAGTTAATTTGTGCTTTAACGTACAGAGGGCGTCATCGCACCCTTGGCTCCACTTAAATATAGTATCTTTTCTCTCTAGCTTGTACAATGGCTCTGCAATTTCCCCGTACTTATCGATAAACTGTCTGTAGTACCCAGTCAGACCAAGGAATGATATTTTATTATCAATTACCTGTATTGTAAATTGCGCTATTTCTTACTTTCCCAGTCGCTCGATATGTTTTTATCTGATAGTGTAGACTTATCTTGTTTGATTGCGAAGAGTGTTGGCCAGTATAACGCTCAAAACGACATATTTTTAGCTAACATAACACGCACGCAATAGAATTCTCTCTTGTAGTTTTGGTGCTACCCATCCAATGACGTCACAAAGTTCATTGACCTTCGAGATAATTTTTCAAAAAATATTTCCAAGATGGCGGCGAAACACAGAGTTTGCATGCATTTTACTCGTGGACTAAAATGTTTGAGAACGAAATGATAATATTTTCATATTTAGGTCGTCAAGTAGGATTGAAATAGCCAATAAAAATTTTCGGTGCCATTGTCCTTTAAAACAAACTTACCTTCGTTAACGTCGGCTCCCTTCTTGTAGCCGATTCTTTCGCCATTTCTTTCTTGAAATTTACAAAATGTTGCAAAAATGCGAGCAAAAATGAAATATATTTGCAAGAAATTTATCAATCATCAAATAAAGAAATGTTTTCTATTTCGCTGTCGTTATGCAGTCGTTATAATAACTTTAAATTGGACCAATCACAGTGTTTGCTATTCATGACAGTCCGCCATATTTTTGAGATTAGTGAGGATGACCACCCACGGTTGATGACCCACGCCCGCGATATTTGTTGAAGTTTAGACTTCGCTAATGCTTTCGTTTCCCCGGGTGTAAATAGCCGGGGGGAATTAGTACCCTCGCACGGCTCTTCGCGCCGTCGGCTCGGGGATTAGAAATCCAGTACAACCACCTATCAGTAATATTTAATTTTCAAAAAAATCCATCCGATCGTTACATAAAACGCGAATTCACCGGTTTTGTTCCTAAGGCTAGTTTTTTGCAAGAAATTCTCTGCGAAGCGTGTTCACATCTCGCCTCCTTCTTAACGCATTTTCTTCGCCATTATTTCACAGAACTTCATCAAATCACACCTGTATGTACTGGAGTTAAAAGTGGCCTGGTTGTTTTCCTGTTGATAAAAATTATCGACGGGTACAAGCAAGTATTAAAAGCCGTCATTTTATATTCAACACAAAATCGTTCGCTCCCACAACCGCCATTTCGTTCGGAAGCAACCTACAGACTCCTACCGTAATGCTTAGCGGGCAGATCGCTCTTACGCAAGTGGTCAATTTTAATAATTTCTACCCCATAGTCATAGAACTTGCCATATTTAAAAAAAACAAAAACATATTCTTGCGCAGTGCTTTAGAAATTCGGTGAGTATAGCCTAATTAACAATTAGACAAAGAAGCCGACTTTTCGTTCAGAGACAACGAGGCTGAGTTGTCTAATTGTTTTAGTTTGAACCACATAAAGAAAACGGAATTTTTCACTTGATTTTTATGTAAAATAATAACGTTTTAACGAAATGAGCGTTTAAATGGCTTCCTTTGGCGACATTTCGCCTCGGCCTTGTTGGCAACTACTCAGTGCTGCGAACTCTCAAGAATGACTTGAAAAATACAACTTGTGAGTTTTAAAAAAGATAAAAAACATGTCGTAAAACAGTATAATGGTAAGAGACCGTAATTATAGAAGCAAAGTTTGGTTAATTAAAATTTATTTAAAAAAAGGAAACAAGGCTTAAAAATTCCTAAATTTCGAACACATAATGGCTTCCCGAATTGTTACTAAATTAGTAAATAAAGTTTACGTTAAAAAGCAGAATAAAAATGCAAAAGAATCCGATTATCCGAATGTCGTTGAAATGTAGTTAATTAAAATATCTTGAACATAAAGAGGCAAACCATTTTCATAAGCTAGTATACATATACAATAGTTTAGATAACAATTTAATCGAAAAACTCGACTTAAAAAGGCTCGAAAAGGCTCGAAAAGGCAAAAAACAAACTCGGCCAAAATATCAAAATTTAAACGAAAAAAACTCTGGCAAAAAAATGAGCACTAAATACATGAACTCGTAGTTAAAACTAGTACACACGAAAGAGCTTGAGAAAATAGGGGTAAATAGCTACAAAGTATTGATGAATTTCAACGATTCTGCTTGGAATATTAACAAAAAAATCGCCTGTCATATTCATGCTCAAAACAACGAGCAAAGTTGAGAAAATTTTAAAATTTTATCGCATGTTTCAGCAGTTTCCAAGAGTCTGTGTTTGTGTGTAATCCAGCATCAAAATTAGGCCATTTTGATAAGCTTCTTCCCTTTAAATGCAGCTTTTAATACTTAAAAACGGCCATTGACTTTCGCGCCCTTCGCCGCTTGTTGCTACTAGTAGGCTATCACTAATAGCCTACTATAGTAGCGTAGCCAATCAGAACGCACGATACATGATAGTTTTACTACTATCTAGGTTTATACTAATACAGTATAGTTCTCCTGAAACTCTGAGGGCTGGGTAACTGATACATTTGAAAAAACGTCCAAACACTTCGTTTCTCGGCTCAAGATATTAACAGATATAGATCAGAATATTTTTATTCAGTCAATAAGCTTCAAGCGTCGAACTTTTCATGCGGCGAAATAATATAATTATGCAAAAGAAAATTATTAAGAACACATTTAGGCTGTTTGTATTATGTGCGGCACATTATTTGCATTTCTTAAATTATCGCTAAAACGTCCTGAGAATCATTGTAATTTTTTATACAAAACCAAGGCTTCAAAGCAAATATATCGTAAACCGCGAACACACAGCAAAATATGCAAATCTTGTTACTCTTGCCGGTATATAATTTCTGAATTTCGATTCGCATTTTCGCATTTATTCGAAACCTAATAATATTAACGCCTGTATTCTAAAAGCTCACTCACACTCAAAGAGTGGAGGTTCAATTTTAGCTTCTCTAGAGTGCCAGTACTGTTTTTGAACAGTTGAAGAGTTAGTGTCGTACCTTAGTATGTGACTACTCGCCCTACAGCTATTTAAAAACAGCATTGACACTCAAGGGAAACTCAGATTTAACCTCCACTCTTTAAATGTGAGTGTAAGTGAGCTTTTACAATACAGGCGTAAGACTTGAATTATATATATATAGGTCAAAAACAGGTGTAATGAAACAGAGCTAATATTGTGTCAGTATAGCCTATATAGTGTTATCTTATAATGTAGGCATATATAGTCTACAACGCAGCCAAATTTCATTTGCAGTTCACTACATATGCAGAGGAAAATAGTTAGTTTTGTTTCCCTGAAGCCTCAGGCTTTATACCGTATTTATACCGACTGCTCTCCGTACCGACGTGAAAAACACATATCCGTTCCTCAGAGGCATTATTGCAACGGAGAGATGTTGTTTCGCTCAGCCTCTGAAAGTTGTACATTCCGTATCAGATGTATAGGTGCTTTCCCGCGCGGTGAGAAGGAAAGTTATACGGTAACTGTAGTGTAAACGTATCCTTAAATCTTAATGTTTCCCTGGAAACATTGAAACACGAGCGAAAACAAAACTAAAGTATTCTGTTATATAGCGAACAAGAAAAAGTAAACAACACTTACATAACATTTTCATTTATGTGATAAATATTCGTCGATTTTAAATCCAAGCGTGAACTTGCGACCATATTATACATCAATGTTTTGCAAATGAATGATTTTACCGACGATTTCATTAATAATAAAAGACTGACAAAGTGAACATAATTGCGTAATTATGATAAAGACGTCTCCTGTTTGACATAAATTTTACTTAAACAATTTTTTTGTAAATATATAGGAGACTAAATATATTTTGCATTCCTCGTACTTCAGAATCGTATTGAAAGAAACAGTTAAATTGTTGTAATACTATGTGTAACTTGAGTAAAATAAAAAGAAACTGCAGTTTTTTATTTTCTCGTGAATTCAGTTTGACATAAGTATCGCGTAACTAAGGACCTCAACAATAACATAATATACACCCATTGTACACATCATGGCCACACTCGCTGTGCACAACAAGGAGGAACTTCGTTCTCAACCAATCAATGCATTTGTTGACATTTTCGCTCTAAGTCCATCAGAATGCGTAATTGGTTACTACTTCCGGTAAAAACATACATTTGAACAGAAAATTTATGGTCCCCTTCATATAGCAAGCGTTTAGTCCTCCCTCATATGCCCCTCATATAGCAAGTGTTTAGTGCTTCGAAACTCAGTTGAAACCAGAACAGAGAAAGTCTATTATTAGTTTGCTACGTGGTGAAGACGCCGGTTATCGCAATTCTTCCGTGGAATACGGAAAAGTTTGATCTTCTAATTATACATTTTAATAAATATATCCGGGCAAATCAAAGCTTGCTCGAGCAGGCATCGAATATTCTTATAGTTGTCTTGTTATTGGTACACTTTAAAGTATAATTCAAAACCAGATATTTGAGGCTACATCACTTGGCATTGCAGCCATGAGGTTGGATGATGATTTTAAGAATAACATTTCATAACATGCTCAGCTCAACTGTTATTTGCTATAGCCTATACGGCAGAATACGTTAAACAACCGTGGTTCAGGGCCTTTTAAAAGATAAAAGCTCTGTGTTGTGAGTTGTCTAAAATAGCTTCAAAAGCTCATTAATAATTCATGAGGAAAACACAAAGAAAAATCATAAATGTGTCATATCTTTATATGTGATAGAGATTTCCCTTGATTTACATAACTAACTTTTAAACTGATTTTCTCCACATACACAACGAATTTTTTAAAAGCTACT